TATATATATATATATATATATATTTTTTTTTATTTTCAGACGATTCCGGTGCGTCAAGGTTCGAGGGGAAGGTGACGAGCAGGTTTCAGACGAGAATCTTCAAGATACCTCGAACGAATCCGGCAAGAAACCTCGTCGACAGACGCAAACATGCTCGTGATAAGTCAGCGTCAAAGGCATCCTTGCTGGAGGATGCTGCTCGCCATCGTCATTTTGTCCGGCCTCATTAGGTATTGCGAACCAATGTCCACGAAGAGGCTCACGGACTCGTCTTCCTCGTCGTTGGCCACGTTATCGAGAAGTTCCGGCGAATCGAGGTCACAGAATCTCGGCTCGCCGAGTGACCTAGCCTGGCAAGCTTGGCTCCTTCTGGACTCGCAGACAGGAGCACACTCTAGCTTGGATTCCGCCAGTTTTCTCAAACGGATCACGCCTAAAAGCGTGTTCATCGCGCCGGTACTACCGGCTTGTCCCGATGGTTATCGAGCGGACACGATGGGCAGGTGCGTGAAGAGAGTGAACATCAATCCTCAGGCTCACATCGGTTTCCTCTTGCAACGGTTGAACAACAGATACGGTAATCAAGCAAGCAACTCTGACACATCGTCCAATAATAATCAGAAGAAGTCCAGCGGCCCTTTGCAGTTGAACATTCCGCTGTTTGCCGAGACGGACACCAAGTCGACGCAAGTGGACCACGAGGAAACCAGGGACTCGATAAACATACCGATCGTGGTCCCTTCGAAGAAGGAGGTCCGAGTGGAGAAGGTAGAAGAAGAGGTAGAGGAGGAACTAGAAGAGGAGGAGGACGAAGAGATAGAGGAAGTGAAGGAAGTGGAAGAGGTAAAGGATGTGAAAGAAGCGAAGGAAGTGGAAAAACCGAAGGGATCAGAAGAACCGAACGAAATGGAAGTACCGAAGGAAGTGGAAGAACCAAAGGAAATAGAAAAACCGAAAGAAGCAGAAGAACCGAAGGAAGTGGAAGAGGTGAAGGACGTAGAAGAGAAGGACGCAGAAGAAGTGAAGGACGTAGAAGAAGCGACCGACGTAAAAGAAACGAAGGACGTAGAAGAAACGAAGGACATAGAAGAAGCGAAAGAGGTAATGAAAAAGCTCTTTCATTTATGAGAATCGTTATTTATAAATGGATGAAGTGCTTTCCATTAGAATGAATACAAGCGCAATATTATTCAGCGTACATAATCACTGCGTAATGTTTCGTCAGAATTTTGATAAAAAGAGAGCCAAATAAAGTAGCGTTTGAACTCGTTTTTTAAATAGAAAAACTTCATTTATTCAAGTTATTGATAGCGAACTTATTCAAGATCTCTCTTCGAAGTCTCGATTGTGATTGCATTCATTGTAGATGTAATTATGTCATATATATGGTACAATTTCAATTTTTTTATTATATAATCAAACCTCTGTTATTCTTGTTCGTGACTAGAATAAACTATCATTTGGATACTTTAAACAAATAATTCCATTCGATGCTAAATTAAAATTTTATCTTTCACTAGATACTGAATATTGGCGAAGAAACTGAGGAAGAAGAAGAGGAGGAGGAAGAGGAGGAGGAGGAGGAGGAAGAGGATAACGAGGCCAATGCCACCACTGGGAACACCACCATTTTTGACGAGTCTTCAGAATACGAAGAAGACGATCAGAATACTACGTCCACGCTTGACACTGTAGTTCCCGTAATAGATTTCATTGATGACACGAACGACACGAATTTCTCCGACGTGATCGACTACAAGATCCCGATCGAACTTCCCACATCGTTCAATATATCCGACGCGAAAGCGATGAACGCCAGCGACGAACAAGAATTATGGAGCGAGGAGTCGCGAGTCTCGAACTCGACCGAGGTGTCGCCGATATTAATTCTTCTTTCGTCGACAACAACGATGCCACCGGATTCAATAGCACCTGAAATAGAATTAGAATTGGCCAACAGTACTAGGAGGACTGTTCAGTTGTAGTATTGTTCTCCGTTTGTATTTCTTCCCTTGACTTAGCTTCCTCTCGTGGAAGAACTACGATTGATGATACCTGACCCTACTA